ATGTATCGAAGAAGTATTAATGATGTAAATTAAGATTTGCTTATTAATTATTGAATAGACAAATCTATAGTTGATTAGAACATATTTTATCCTAGAAGGTAAAGTTTAACAGGATATAAATTAAGAATTTTCTTTTTTTCAATTTTTTTCTTGATTTTTAATACCACTTCTTTATTTTTCTTTATATACTCAAGCATAAATAGTCTACAGAATCTAATTCTCTGAGACATTACGTTATTCCATAAAATATTGTTTAAATCTGATTGTATGTATAGTCAAAGAGGTGATGTTGCTATGACGAATAGATCCGAATCTTAAAGTTTTTTTTGATTGGAATCATTAAAACGTTGATAGTATTTTAAGTGACTTAAGTGATATTCCGTCCATACCCCAATAACTAATTAGTATTAACTCATCTTTTGTCTTTTTCCTTCCATCCAAATGTTTTAAAATTTCCTTTCCTTTATTCAAAATATGATCAGCACAAATTATGCGAGTAAAACATTTGATTAATTTGACAAATATTTCATCATTCATATCTCAGAGGTTAGCTACGAATTGTGAGCGATAAAAATTGCTATAAAAAGAGATTTAAGTTACATAAATGATATTTAAAGCCTCCCATAATGTCTTTTGAAGCCTTATCCTTATCTAAACAATGGTCGCTTGCTATGAATCAAGAGCTCTGTGGTTCGAGATCTATCCGAGTAAAATAAAAAATAACAAAAAAAAGTCTAGATGCCTTATTTAACAGTAACTCAACTTAAACAAATTGATGATTAAAAATGTTTTTGATGCGGAATCTGAAAAATAGTCTGCTAAAAGCCTTGAGCAAGTTATAACGTATATTATTTTCCCGGGTATTCTATTTCTGCATAAAACTGCGAATAAAGGTGTCAAAGTTTTATTCCCAAGGTTATTAAAAAAAGAAATTGTAAAAAATATGATTACTGGGTTTTGCGTATCAGAAACCTAACTCGAGAAAAAATAAATGATCAAAAGAAAATAGTGGAGCCAAAACTATATTGAATAAACGTGGCACAACATAATTAAAAAATCGCATTCTTTCTCACCATTTTTAATCGACTTGAATGGTAATTTTTATGACTTGAATTTCTTTGGGTTTATATCCAAGTTTGTTTTGTTAGTTATTATTATCTTCAAAATAATCAAGAAATTTAAAAAATAACAAAAAAATTGAAGATGATTTTTAGAAAAAATTACAGATGATTTTTTTGGTATATGAATAATTGCTATAATAAAATAAAAAATATGAATAAAAATTGAACCAATGTTTGATAAATACTGAACTATAAAAATTAGTTCTCAGGTTTGTTTCACTATTTAAACAGCTTCTTGCATTATTTTGAAATTATTTTGAGCTATTTACTGTTGTTAGGTGTTACTTAAAATTGTTTTATTATATATCCATTAAGTTACTGTTGCGTTTGCAAACTTTAATGCCACCCAAAAGTGAAGAGTAGTTAATTAAATAATTGTTTACACCTTGCAAAAAAAAAAAAAAAAAACATTGAAATTTTTTTATTATAATAGCAAGATATCATCTAAAACTTACCATCTATAAATTCCTAAAGTATAGTATTATGTAATACAAATTTATTTTCTATAAGTTACCTATAAGTTATTATATTTTCTTACATTTTTTATATAACTTATATATACCCTATTACTATTAGGTTGTTTCAAAGCAAAAGCCATACATTAAAATTCATCACAGCCCCTATAATAGGGCAATTACCATAGATTATATAAATGCAATTAAGTTCTACTTAGGAAATAAAAATTATAATATAAAATAGCGACAATATTATTTAGCATTTGAGTTTTAAAAAGACAAACTAGATTCAGCCTAAAATACATTTATGAATAAACATTTAGAAAATACATTTAAATCGATGAATCTTTTTTTTTTTTTTTTTAATTTTTTGTATGAACTAATGTAAAATTATTATCAATTGTTCATACATTTTGATTTAGAATTTTTGCAATAAGTATTAGTTATTTTAATTTTTGCAATAAGTATTAGCTATGCTTCAACAATCAACAATATTAAACGCTTTGCAGTTTGTTGATTAAAAAGTTCGACTATAATATTTTTATGTTAACACAATTTTTTATTGTTAAAAAAATCTTTTCAATTAGTTTTATCTGTCCACGATAACTTAAACACGGTTTGACAATTTAGTCTACAATTAGACAAAATCTGTTCGCAATTAAGCGAACGTGTTCACAGATAACCTATTTAGCTCTACTTAAATCACTTTCCTGATTAACCTAGGAAAGAAGTATATTTCTTTTAGAGTATTAGCGCAGCCTAATCTCTAAAAGAAAGATACTATATATATATATATATATATATATATATATATATATATATATATATATATATATATATATATATATATATATATATATATATATTACGGATTTAAAAACCGGACATTTCAGAAAAACTATTTAGTTTGTTAGAAATTAAGGGAAAGTGTTTCTATTTTGTGATTTGGTCTCGACCAACTCGAATTTCATTGCATCGGCATTACTTATTACTGAGTACAATATTATGACAGCGTTGTCAAAGTATTTCAATATTCTGAAAATGAATAACAGACAATCAAAATTAAGTAATCATCCATAATGAGAGTTTGTCAATCAAATGCAGAACTAGTTAACATGAATGATTTTACAAGTAAAGCTGTTTATAAAGATACACACGCACGCACACACACACACACACACACACACACACACACACACACACAAACAAGACTAGGACACATTTAATTTAACTAACGAAAGATTGTTTCCTTTCATGAGATTCATCAAGAATATGAAACGATGAGCCATTTTGCTCAAATCACACATATGATTTGCATGAGTGTTTGCAAATCATATGTGTGATTTGCAAACACTCATGCAAAAATATAATCAATAACAAAGTTAAACACTGCTTGTTTAACTTTGTTATTGATTATATTTGTTATTGAATAATTTCTTTATCATAATTCAACTATAAACACAGTTTACAATAAAAAAAATACAATAACTCTGTATATAAATACTACAAACAAAATAAAATGTTTTAAGTATAAAAAGAACTCGAAGAAAACTGGCTAACCTTATCACCGAGAACCGCGGGAAAAAAAAAACAAATAAAAAAAACATAAAAAAAAAAACAACAAACAACAACAACACCCAGTTTTGAGGCACTTTAATTAAGCTTGATAATAATTGAAGTTAAGATTTCAGTTACTAATAATCATTAGGATTATTTAAATCGTCATAGTTTATAAACATCTGTAAACTAGATTGTGCTTTAAACTTGATTATAGCTATTATAGCATTTACAATTGTTAAAAGCTTGCTGTGAAAAAAAAATAGAATGACAAAATCAGATGACTCAATATCAACTACGTTCATTGAATTGTAGAATAATTAAGAAATAACTCTTCACTGTTATTAAAATATTTTCAAAACTAAGAATTAAGTTAAAAGTTATTTTCACATTATAATTACAAAGTTTATTTTAATATGCACAATTAAACAATGTAACATGCATATGTTTAACTAATAAACGACACCCATAGAAACATAATAAACGATAACCATTTACATCCATACACATCGAGATTATTTTTTTTATATCGGATGCTGAAAGCCAATGGTACTTTTTTCATTATTACCGTGCGCTAGATGAACCTTTACAATATTGCTATTTTTAAAATTACGCTAACAATCCTGCAAGTGATTTTTTTAAGTTTTAAGTCATAAGTTTTACAACATTAGAATAGTAAAAAAGTAGTTACTGTTGGTTTAAAAGTTATTTATGTCGTTATTAAACTGTTATATTAAACGTTAGCATATCGTTTCTAAATAAATATTGTTTGTAAGAAAACTTTTTTTTTAAGACTAATTGTAATAAAATATAAGAAAGTTTACTTTAATATGCGTTGTCAGAAAACAAAACACTCTACTATTTAAATTGTTATCGGGCGCGGTCACTTTAAAAAAAAAACAGTTGTCCAATCTAAAACACTCAATAACTTTAAAATCCATTAATGATTTTTATTTAATGGAAGGTTTTTGAATTACATTTTTAGTTCAAAGATCAGCCTAAAGAAAGCGGGGTACCTTACAAAGTTTTAAATTTCTCTGAAATTTTTTAAATAACGAGAACTTGATTTTTAACGAAAATAATTTTTTAATAAAGTTGCTTTTATGCCATTAATCACCTATTATCTTTCTATTAGTTTTAAAAGCATTAGTTATTAAAAAAAAAATTAAACAAATTCATGTGAAATTTTCATATTCAAAGATGAAAAAAGAGAAAAAGGTTATGGTTATCCAAACAAATCTCTTTTATATATATATATATTTATATATATATATATATATATATATATATATATATATATATATATATATATATATATATATATATATATATATATATATACTTGTATTCATTTGTAAAGGAAATTCTCAGTTTAAAACATTGTATGATAATACAAACAAGAGTTTTAAACAACAGTGATAATTCAGCTAGTATTTACAAGTGTAATTACAATAATAAATACTCAACAGGGTGCACCAAGAGAAGGTGTGCCACTATTAAATACCTAAATACCATTAAGCATTAGTGCTTTGGATCCCAAAAGAAAGAATAGGATTGCACAACTATTACCTCAAAGTTGTCTCGTTTTTACACCTAAAGCTGTGGTTGTTACACTTAAATTCACTAAGTTATGTTTTTTAATCTCTAAATTTTAACAAACACTTTAAAAGATATTAAAATCACAAGTAACATTAGTGATACTATATTTTTGTGAAAAAAAATTCAATTGAACCATTACTCAAGTTTAAAATTAATAAACATTTGTTAATTTCTCCTTATAAATAGTCTTTTATGACTATTGTTTAATAAAAATATGAAAGCAAGGTCATTTTGAAACAACTATAACAACAATAAATACAAAAATAAGTGAAATTTATAGCAGTTTTTATAATATATTTCTGTAAATAAAAGAAAATTAAATAAAACTCCATACAGGAGATGATGAACTATCTACAAAAAGCTATAATGATTTATGTAATCTTCAATGTTCTATTTATTTTGAGACCATCATTTTCACAAACTCTAAAAATAAAAAGATAAAGTTTTTTATAGTACAACTAAAGTAAACAAAATAATATCAGTATTAAAAAAAAAAAAAAAAGTAAAGATTTTTTTCAAAATTACCCTCATAATTCACTTGTCCATCCCCATCTAAATCAGCTTCTTTTATCATTTCATCAACTTCCTCAGTTGTTAGTTTCTCTCCAAGATTAGTCATGACATGTCGCAACTCAGTTGCACTTATAAAACCATTGCCATCCTTGTCAAAAACCCGAAAAGCTTCTTTAATCTCTTCCTCTGAATCTGTGTCTTTCATCTTTTTTGCCATCATTGTTAAAAACTCAGGAAAATCAATTGTACCATTGCCATCAGCATCAACATCGTTTATCATATCTTGAAGTTCAGCCTCAGTCGGATTTTGGCCTAAACTTCTCATAACTGTACCAAGTTCTTTAGTGGTAATTGTGCCATCACCATCTTTATCAAAGAGAGAAAAAGCTTCCTTAAACTCAGCAATTTGTTCTTCTGTGAGAGTATCAGCCTAATTAATAAATAATAACTGTATAAAAGCTGTTTTTACCATATTAAACACACACACGTTAACATATCTGTCTATTTGTGTAAGTGTATAGAACTTGTAGCCTTGGGGTCACATTCATATATATATATATGGATCATCATCAATCATCATGAAATCATCTTCAATTTTTTTGTTATTTTTTAAATTTCTTGATTATTTTGAAGATAATAACAACTAACAAAACACATTCATATATATATATATATATGGAAAGAGAAAGTTAAACTTATAAATATGTAGATACAAGCAGTTATTAATAAAAAGTATATTTAAAAAGTGTAATATTACCATATATTTATAAATATATATAAAAATAAAAAAAATAAAAATCCACAGAAGTTAGTATAGCAACACTTTATGGTAGATTTTACATTGTAAAATGACTATTATGAGCTTGATGATTTTTTTTTTATAACTGAAGATGCAAGTAAATAAAGTTAGATAAGTGTTTTTTAGTTATATATTACTACTTATTATACTTGATTTCTTTCTTTTGATATAGAATATGTCAACCTAATATATATAAAAGCTTTGCTAAACTTAATTTATCTATCTATCTATCTATCTATCTATCTATCTATCTATATATATATATATATATATATATATATATATATATATATATATATATATATATATATATATATATATATATATATATATATATATATATATATATATATATATATATATATATATATATATATATATATATATATATATATATATCTATATATATATATATCTATATATATCTATATATATCTATATATATATATATATATATATATATATATATATATATATATATATATATATATATATATATATATATATATATATAATATATATATATATATATATATATATATATATATATATTACATATTTATTGTGCAAAAATGTACACATAAATATATAAAAACATATATAATAAATAGTAAACATATAATAACTTTAAATAACATTCTTACTTTTATTAGTGTGTGTGTGTGTGTGTGTGTGTGTACACGTATATATGTATGTATATTAAACAATAGTAGTTAAAAGAATAATTATAACAATTTAAATTCAAATTACTTTTAGTATTTTTTATAAAGTATTTTTTCAAGTAAATTTTATCCATTCGAAACATACATTTTGCCCAACCTTACAATTGATAAACTTATATGATTTATCAACTCTACAATAAAATAAAAACAAATATATTCATGAAATACCAAATGTAACCGATGTAAAATACCAAAATAACAAAATATTTATTTTTACGCTTTAAACGCGTAAGAAATAAAAATCTTTACAGCAAATAATAAAAACATGTTTGCATTACAAGAGTAACAAAGTACGTCAAAGTGTCATTAGCGACATTCTGAATTTTCATTTCTGATGTTTTTAAAACTTGTTGTTGTCGTCAGTATCACTTAGGCGTAACAGTTTATTGTAATTTTTTACCCAAATTACAAAATTTAAAACAATTTTTTGTCTGATAACACGAAAAATAAATATGAACTCATATCTACATAATACTACCAAAACAAGGTACAACTTACCATTACTATTTGATATTATATATCCCGACGCAGAGACAACGCTAACAACGCCGTTGAACGAGTGAATGTTTTTAAGCTGGAGAAGTAAAAAATATTTTTAAAGCATGAATGTCCAAAGAAGGCAAGCGATTTCAATAAATGTTTTTCAAACTTTTTATGAATTTCAATTGGCTTAACTTAACAACCAATGAACAAAGTAAATAAATGGAAGGCTTACATAAAAAAAACAGCTTTTTGAGTAACGTCAAGCAGTTAAAAAGAAAAGAATTTTTTTTTTTATAGAAATTAAAAGCATTTAATTAAAAAATACACTAAGTTGAACAATTAGGATTTTCGTTTTTTTATTCATTTTATAAATACTTTATTATTTTATACAATATTTTAAACGATAAAACTTTGTACAATTCTTGCTTCTGCAATTTAATAACTCATGAATTTAAAATATTAAACAGTTATAATAATCGCCTAAGTTTTATCTCGTTGATGTAATCAGATGTTGATCAGTTTTTAGGTTTTTTATTTATTTATACATTTATCTTTTATGCGCATCGATTGATCTATTGAAATGTTTTATATCCACGTTACTTTAAGATAATAACTTCAAATATCATGGATATTATGGATAAATTATATATGAATGATAAACTATCTGGTTCAAAGATAAAAAGTTTTTACAGAGGGTGTCATTTAGAAAATCCTTTTACGTAAATTTGTAGCGCTTCAGTTAATGACAAATATGCATCAAAGTTCGTTATTACACGTTATTATTTCGCGCACGTTTATAACAACGTTAATGCCGACGACACCAGGGGCTTGGGGAGGGGGAACACGTTTACCTCACTTTTTTTCTAATGGACCTTTTTTGTTATTTATTTATTTTTTTTAAATCCAGACTTTTTTTAGAAATTAGAACGAAGATGCAAAACAAAATTTAAACTTCTGATAATTTTTTGCATCTTAAGCCAACTTAAATTTATTTTATTTATCATCTAAAACTTTTTTTTCAAATTCATTACTAAATTTTATTTGTATTAAATAACAATTTTATTAAAAATCTTGTTTTTATTTGTATGAGGTGGGCGGTTACAAATAATTTCAGCCGCGGGTTTAGGAAGGGTTGATAACCATGGGGTTTTACTATAATATTTTGACAACAAACAGCAAGACTGAGTTGTTTTAAGTCCCTCGACTCCAACTATATATGTTTTAGTTAAACTAAGCAAAAATGATAATCTTTGTCTCTTAAAAAGGTCTCCGTATTGCTTTATTACATTTTAAACGCAATACTTAGCATTGTTTTATAGAGAGTTATAATTGAATTAATTGCAAGTGTTTTTATCTTGTTTAATAATAATAAGACTTATACAGACGTTTTTATTTGAAAAAATTGAACTAATTATGTTACTTTATAGCTATATTTTCTCCAATCCAAAGCAAAACCTTTCGAAAAGCTTGGTGAGAAAATTTTAGTTGATGGAATGTTTTATTGATTGTTATATTGATTAGTTGTTCGTTATGTTGATTGGTTTATAGATTGATTGTTTAGCTGATCGGTTAACTGATTGATTGTTTTGTTATCGGTTGATTGATTAAATTTTAAGACTATATTTTTCCAGATGGAAATTTATTAAAAACGGAAACGTCTTCAGTCTTAAAGTGGCTTAGGAAAGACCACAAGTACAATAATAAAAATCAAACGTGAAAACTGCGGTTTCAAGGTGATTTTAGGTTAAAATTTTTTTTTAATAAAAAAAAAAAAAAACATCAATAAATAAATAAACTAGACCAACATAACCCTTAAATATTTTTCTATTTAACTTAAAAAAAAAAAAAATTATTCTTTTGTTACAAATGAAAGCAGCAGGAGTTTTCCTTTTTCGTTATATTTGCTTGGCTATAATAAAATAAATAATTAATCATAAAGTAAAATATATGATAATTTATGTATGTAGTTAAAAATCGACACACCTTGTCAGTTTAAATTTAATTCACCTTGTTAAACAACATTTATTATCTGTTTAACAATAGTTTACTGTGCTGATCACAGTGTTTTGTGTAACTCGGTAACTTCATTGTAAGTATCAACCGGATTAGATGATTCAAAAATTTAAAATCATAATTTAATGTCAAAGTTGTAACTTTTTATTTTGTGATTTCTTGTAAAGTACTTTTATAGTTTGCCCTGCTATTCATGTATTTCAGAATTTAAAACTTTTTAATGCGTCTTAAATCAATAAAATGTCTTTTTTAATTTTTAGAAAGAATTGAAACAATAAAAATACTTTTTCAAACATTTTTTATTACGAAAGTTATCACAGATTCAAATTATTTTTTAACTACTCTCATTACAAAAGTGACCACAGATTCAAATTAATTTTTAACATCTCTTATTACGAAAGTGAACACAGATTTAAACACTTTTTGAACAAAAGTTTAAAATCAAAGTTGTAACTTTTTTTTTTTGATTTTCTGCATAAAATACTTTTATACTTTGCCCTCCTATTCATATATTTCAGAATTTAAAACTTTAAATGTATCTTAAACAATCAAAATGTCAATTTATATTTTCTGAAAGAATTTGAACAATAAAAATATTTTTTTTTATAAACTCTTGCATTAACATCTCTTATTGCAAAAGTGACCACAGATTCAAACTCTTGCTTTAACATCTCTTATTCCAAAAGTGATTACAGATTCAAACTCTTGCTTTAACATCTCTTATTACAAAAGTGACCACAGATTCAAATTATATTTTAACAACTCATTACAAAAGTAACCGAAAACTCAAATTATTTAGAGCAAGAATTATTTTTTTTACAATGTATATATATATATATATATATATATATATATATATATATATATATATATATATATATATATATATATATATATATATATATATATATATATATATATATATTTTATTGATTCTAACTTTAAAAGTAAATCTAAATACTTATACATTTTTGTTCTATAAATGAAATAGATTCTAATGTATTTAAACTTTAAATCTAAAAAGGTTTTCAACTTATAGTAAAAAATTTGATTTTTACATCCAAAAATAAATTTGGCTTCCCCTCTTCATCAAAGCTACAACTACTTACATGCACGGAAATCTGTAATAAAGTTTGGAAAATTTACGGAAACTTGAAGTGACAACAGGTGACGAAGTATTTTGTCGGTTGAGCAGTTAGGAAGTACCTTTTTTTAATTTTTGTTTTCTGAGTACTAAACTACAAATATAAAATATGAAAAAGCATTTATATTCAGGAAAAGACGTAGATTTTTTATATTTAAATAAATATTCATTATAGTAAAGTTATTTGGTTGAATAAAAAAAGTTTGAAAATAATTTTAATCATAATGGCTTTTTATTTTATCGGATCATGCGCATTTTTTTGCTTTGTTAACAAATCAATTGGGTTAATATTGAAACATAAGAATTTAACAACTGTTAAAAATGATCGGCTAGTGAGAAACACTATTTGTTCACTTATCCATTCCATTATTTCGTCGATTGGAACCGTTTTATGGTAAGATTTCTTCTTTTTCTGTTCTTAAAACCGTTAATAACTAAATATTTAAATGCAACAAGTTTTAAAATAAAGTTGATTTTAAAAATTTACTAAAGACGCAAATCTTTTTGTTTAGCTATGTTGAAACGCCAACACTCTCTCAAAACTTTATAAACACTTCATCAAAACTTGCACACATATTACTGCTGTTCTCTTCAGGTATATAATATTGATTTTTTAACGTCCGAATTGTTGATAATATTATTCAAAGTTATTAAATCGTAGAAAAGATAGAACTTAATAAAAAAATATTTTTATTTATATCTTACCTAAATAATTGTTTAGCAGTAGCTCAAAGTCTTACTATACCTGTTCCCGTTTCAGTTAACATGGTAACTGAAATGGTATGGTAAGACTTAGAGATACAACTGAACAATCATTTGAGTAATGCATTATTATGGCTTTAGTGTTTAAGTTGATTTAGGTGAGCCCAACTCATTTTATTAGAGACATAGCTTCTTGTCACCCCTGCTTCATTAAAACATAAAATATTAAAAAGAAAATTCACGAAAGTGTACAATTTTACATTTACTCATTTTACTGCAAGCCCGTGGAAGGCTTTTATAATATTCTGGTCAATAAAATCAATGAATTTCTTTTTACTGAAATCTTAAGGTAAGGGATTAAATCAAACTTAAGGAAAGAGATTAAATTAAGGATTAATTAACTTCTTTCGATGAGTAAACGTCGATTTGAAACACCCGTTATTTGAATATCAATTTATACGATAGAGACAATTTTTAGAATTTAGGTTTAGTAAGGATTGTAGGGACAATACCAGATGAAAACTACTATAGATTAATCAACAGCAATGCTTAGCTCACGGTATTCAACTGGCTATTATTTCAGTTTTATATAATAGCAACTTACTATAAATTCTTGAAAGGTTTCATAAGTTAAAAAATTGCATAAAAAAAGGCGTTTATTGGTATCAGTATTAATGGTTCTATAAAAATGTCAAAAATTAGTATGAAATTGTCTCTGAACTAGTAAACGTGCTAGTTTCAGTAAAAACGCTTTATCGACGCGATGCAAACCTTGTAACTGCTGACATTACGTTAATCTTTATGCTAACTAAATTAAAAGAACTGAGTACTACAACAAGTTGTCAACTTTTTAATGCATTAGCCTCCAGAATCAACGAATGAAGGACTGAATCAAGTAGTCTACTGCACTATCTACATTACGGAGAAAATAAATTAACGCCCATAGATGACGTTTTTGAAACATCTTTAAACTTTGAAAATAATGTTGAAGCTTCTAAATAGATTAAATGTGAGAAACTTAAATCACCCTACAAATTCCTTGGATAAGTTGAAGATTTAGTAAGTCAAAAAGATGATAAAATACCAAAAAGCGCGGATAATGAAATGCCGAAAACTATTAATGAGCAACTAAATGAAGCCCTAGAAAAAAATTTATAGCAACACCCAGAAATTCTTTGTCAAGATTAGGAAAATTCTTACTTCTAAATTATCGAAAGAAATGTCATTTTTTAAAAGTGATTGTTCTAGAGGTGAAAGAAATTTGATGAATTTTTTAATGACGGTTAAACTAACGAGCGTAGTATCAGAAAAGGCATTTTCCTCTACAGGACTATTTTGCAATAAAACAAGAAGTCGCTTAAGTGATAATAGTTTTGAGTTAAGTGATAATAGTTTAATTCAATCCCCACCACGTCCCTGGTAGTACCGCGCTCAACTCGTTTCTCCGCGCAGCGGCCTTGTTCGTCAAGGTTTGTGTTTCGGAGTTATAGAGTTGAGAGAGGGTTATAACCACAAATAAGTAACCTCCTCGTCTGTAGTGGCCTTCTCGGCCTTGAGGAGGTGAATTAACAAAAAAAAAAAAAAAGATAGTTTGAGCTTTCAACGAGCATATTTTTTAAAGACAAAATAAATAACTTTATGTACAAGTTTTATTGATTTTACTGTAATATACTTAATTAAATATTTTTAATTAAGTATTTATGCTTTAAAACTGAAAGACTTTCCATTTAGTTTTAGAGCATAAAATAATGACGGGATTTGCCGGGAAAATCTGGGAATCAATAATACAAAACCCGAATCCCGGGAAAAGAAATTTTCCGGGATTTTGCAAATCTTAGTTTTATTGTTAACGGTTTTTATTGTAGCTGACGACGCTGAACATATTAGGTCAGCAAAATATTGAGAGTTATATGCTTGAAAATCTAAATCAAATCTTTATCGAGGTTTTTAAATTTTAATTTCACAGTCAAAATTGTTGTCTGAAATAAAACTTTTTCTTTCAAAATAGTATAAAAAAATGTTCTCGAAAATAAAACTTTTTCTTTCAAAACAGTTCACAAAAATGTTATCGAAAATCAAACTTTATGACAAGTTCAAACACGAAAAAAATTGTCAAAAGATTTTAAAATGTTTTTTAGCATAAAAATTATACCAAAATTATATAATATTTGTCATAGCTAGGTATTATTATTACAACTGACGTTTTTAAGTTAATGAATTACACAAAACATGTTTTTTTATATTTAAGTTGTTTCAATTATCTTTCACGTTTAGGCAGTAGTAAAAAAATATACATTAAAATTATGATTTATTTACTTATTTTTTCTTGAGATAGGTTACTTCCTATATGATATAGGAGATATGATAATGTATGATGGTGGTAACCAATTAGTTGTCATTGCACACCATGCACTGGTAAGCAAAGTTGGTCTTAATAAAACATTATTTTCTACAACAGTGTTTTTCTCTAATAAAATCTTTTTTTTTTTTGACAAAATATACTTAAACATTATAACTATATAAGTTTTTTGTATTTAAATTTTATAACCATAAAAAGTTTTTTGTATTTAAATTTTATAACTCTAAATGGTTTTTGTGTTTAAACTATACAACCACAAAATTTATTTGTATTGAATAGTATTGCATCACTTGGATACATATTTTAGTACTCGAAAGTAAAACAACCTAGTTTGAACTTTCTAAAGATGATTTAAACTTTGTGAAGAATTTGTGCTTGGGCCAAAAATAAAACTTTTGACCCAACCTCATAAATGTTCTCGAAGTTATTTTTAATACACAACTATTTTATTATATTTAATTTGTAAAGTCACTATATATATATATATATATATATATATATATATATATATATATATATATATATATATATATATATATATATATATATATATATATATATATATATATATATATGTATATATATATATATATATATATATATATATATATTTAATAGTGTATATATTATTAACTGTGTTTTTTATAATAACGATATGATTTAGGCAATTATGTTCTATGCAACTTGCATGAAAAATAACCATTGCATTGGGTTTGCTGTGTTTTCCCTTGTTGCAGAGTATAGCAGTGTATTTATACACATTCGCCGTTTGTTAATTATCGCAAACATGCGAAATTCTCACATCTATACGACGATAAAGTATTGTCTTATTATATCCGTGTTAGTGTGTCGCGTTGGCGGCTGCCTATGGATGTGGAAACACTTAATTTATAATTCAAACAATTCGATTAGCAAACATAATTTGCTTATTGGGGTTCTTGCGTTACTCTATATTACACCAATGAACATAGGAATGATGCGACGTTTGTGGACTGTTGATTTTCGCTCTCAGAGAAAAAAGACTTTAAACAAAAAATTTTAGTTGATTTTTATTCAGCTTTTATTTTAGCGCAATAACTTAAAGGATAAATTATTATTTACTGAAATAATTTGTAATTTAAGTTATTTTACATTTTTACTAAAGTACTCATAAAAATATTTAACTGTTTTTTTATTCATAAAAATGTATAAATAAAAACAAAATGAAGGTTGCTAATGAATATTTAACAGCCGTGGCGCAGTGTTTAGAGTTCTGACTCAGAACCCATAGGTCAACGCCAGCTTTGCGACATTGGTACGGAAGGAGGCGTAAACTTCTTGTTAAATACTCTCCCGCGGTGCTCTGTGATAAGATGGTAAGGACTTCTGGGAGCACCTAAAATAACTACAAAAAAAAAAAAAAAAAATTAAAAGTGTTGTTAGCATTTTGTCAAATTAAAAAACATTATTAGTTAATAACGCAGTAGATTACCATAAAAAATGACCAAAATTGTGCACAAGTGGATAAAAGCATGAAAACTGTTCTAACTTGTGTCAGTGTAGTGAAAATATATTTATTCTAAAGTAATTAGGGGAAAGGCGCCTATGATGGCATACTTAACTTTCAAGCTTCATTATTCAGTATCCTGAAGAACAATAATAAAAGTTTTAATATAGATACAATCCTTGTTACATGTAGAACAATAATAACCCTCAAGAGTAAAACAAAAACTGATGAAAAGAGTTTTCATCAGTTTTGTTTTACTTGTAAGTTATTCCTATATTAAAAAAAGCACAAGTACGCCATCATAGACAACCACTGCTCCTATGATGGCATAGGGGAGGATGGGGTTGGTTAGAATCAAGAGTAACTTGATGATTTCATTTAATCTTAGGGTCTTCCTTCAGAAATGCTAGAAATTACTCGGAACCATCCAAATTTACCATTTCATGCTACACAGAAGCATTGTAAGGTTTTGCGCATGTGCATAGGATAAATTGCGTTTTATGTAATTTTTGGACCGAAAAAAAACTTTTGGAGCATCGCTTTTTTTTTACTTTACTTAAAAAAAAGTTTTTCTTATAAAAAAGGTTTTCTCAAATCGTCAATATTGCAACACACCTAACTCGTCAGTATGCGATCATAGGAAGAAGTCATCATTTTCATTAAAACAAGCTGTGTCTGCTTCGTTCAAAATATAAAATTAAAGTAAGTATTCCACTAAATCCACAACACTTGGATATAAAATGCACGAAAATTCCCTTTCTGCACAGTTAGTAATAAAGTCACAATCTTAAATATATGAAAGGAATAAAACTACTACAGCACATCCCAAAATCAATTTTTCTTGATTTTAAAAACAATATTTGTGCAAAAGGGGCGTATTTCCACTAATGTAAAGTCAGTATATTCATGCAGGTCTAATCACTTTTTTACCAAAACCAATTTTTATAGGAATATGACCGGTTTGCCATCATAGGTACTATGCCATCATAAGCGCCTTTCCCAATAAATATTTACAACAAAAAAGACTTAGAAAGAAACTACGTTTACTACAACAAACTTTAGAAGATAAGAACAAATTTTAGTTTAAATTTTAGTTCAAATTGACAAAAATTGGCATTTGTGTCAATATGTCACTTAATTAAGGTGAAGTCCTAACTTTGTACAGTCCACAATTAAGGTGAGGTGCTTAATTTCTTATCACAGAGCACCACGAATAAGCATTTAACTAGAAGGTTCACGCCTCCTTTCTTACCAATACCACATTTTAGGCTAGAGTCTTTAAACTATCAGTAGTTTGCTCCATGGAAGTTGGTTTTAAAACCAACTTCCATGGAGCAACCAATATCACCTTAATTGTGGACTGTACAAAGTTAGGACTTCACCTTAATTAAGTGACACATTGACACAAATGTCAATGAAAAAAACGCCTCCTTCCTTACCAATGTTGCTTATTGGGCTAGAGCCGGCGTTGAACCTAGGAGCTCTTTATTCTGAGTCAGAACTCTAACCAATGCTTTTAATTGACAAATAGTTCAAAAAATTTTCGATAATTTTTTTAGGCCAAATCTGTAAATTGAACTAAAATTGAAGTTTTTTAAAAAGTTTTTTTTGAAATTTTGGTGCCTAAATAAACATAACTGTAATAACTTTTAGATTTTTTTTTAATATTACAATATTTAATATAGTACTATGTTATCAATCTAATTTGTCGAAAATAATCACTGAATTTAAATAGTTGTATAGATTTAGTTGTATTAATAATAATACTAATATTATTCCTCAAGGTTCGATTCTTGCTCCTCTTTTGTTCCTAATCTATAAAAACAACCTTCCAAAAGTTAATGTTTGCAGACGATACAAATTTAATTTACTCTTCGACAAACATCAAGGATCTGTATGATAATGTAAACATAGAACTCCAAAAATTAAATATTTGGTGTAAAACAAATAAGTTATCCCTAAACATAGAAAAAACAAAATACACTTTATTTCATTCAAACCAACAAAGAAACACACTACCAAATATTTTACCCTCTCTAAAAATAGAAAATATAGTAACTAAGAGAACTCACGAAACTAAATTTTTAGCAGTTATAATTGATGAAAATTTATCTTGGAAAGCTCACATAAATGCTTTAAACACTAAAATATTAAAAAACATAGGTCTACTTTGTAAAGCAAAACTTATGCTGCCGCAAAGTAATTTAAAACTTATATATTTCTCTTTTATACATAGCTACTTCATATATGCGAATATAGCTTCGGCGAGTACGCATATAACCAAATTGAAAACTTTATATCGACGTCAGAAACATGCTGTGAGACTAATCTACCATAAAGACAAATTTACACACGCTGAACCTTTATTTAAAGAAATGAATGTGTTATCAAATTAACAAAATATATTGTTTATGCTGAAATTTAAATTAGGTCAAGTACCAAAACATTTTTTAAATAACTTTTTTATAAAAAACGTTAATAAATATAGCACAAGAGAAACAGGAAACTTTATGACACCTTTCGAAAAAAAAAAAACTTTCCCAGTTCTCAATTTTATATCGGGGTCCTTATTTATACAACAAACTAGTAACCAAAAATAAATCAATTTGCAATCTAGATAATCAAAATTCCTTGAAAACAAAGTTAAAAAGTCTGATACTGAATTTAAACAGATACTCTGAATTCTTCTGAGACAATAAATTAAATTACATATATATCAACTACAAAGTGAACTGACTCGTTTATGTGTATTATCTAAATGACTCTTACCTTTCTCAAACAATATATCAAAAATTGTTTATTACACACAAAAAAAAACAATTGATTTTTTCTTATCAATTTTAGTTATTATGGTGCTTGTTATGTCAATATAATTTTAATTACATATAATTTTTTATACAGAGCTTATTTTGAGTTTATTTTTTATTATGAGCTTAATTTAAAGATTATAAAACAATAGTTGTACTTAATATATAATTATATTTAACACAATCATAATATATATCAAACACATTGTAAGGGCTTCGTGATAAGATCATTACGATCTTCTTGAAGTCCGGCCCGTACTATTTAATTATAAATTTCATTATATATTTTGACTCACGAGACTTGTGAATATTACACCTTTAATTTACAAAACTTGTAAATGTTATATGTATGGCAAATATATGAATAAAAAAATATATATATTTGTTGTTGTAGCAATTACAATTTTTTTTTTAAATATAATAAAATTTTAAAATAATAAAATAAACTTTGGAACACAATGCATCCTGTGACAGCCACAGAAATAAAAACACAGGTTAACAAAAAAATTTACCTCGCGCTTTGAAAACATTTAACGATCTTGTCTCTACAATTTTATTTGGTAAAAAACTCCAATTATTACAACCAGTGCTAAAAAAAAGCGTCTAACATTTGCAAAAAGGCCCCTTATTTTACAAATAGGCCCCCTAAACTTGCTTTCCCTTCCCCTCAATTAGGGTTGTGGGGAAGCCTAGCCACGGCTCTGATTACACTACTCGGTTGGTGAAGAAATTGTATCTTTGTAAACATGATAGTACGTATTCTTATTCTACTCTGCATTTGTTGCCCCAAACCGAAAAAGCTGAAACTGTATGATTTATAGATGATGCAACTTGTGAATTTTTCTACAAACTTATTTTATTTTGTTTAAATTTGTATTATTGAATGAGATCTCATCTTAATCGTCTTTTCTCCAATTAAGTTGCAACCCATTGCTTTTAGTTTATTTTTAAGACATATTTTTAAGTTGTGGAATGAACTTTATTAATTTTTTAAACACTTGTTCTAACTCATTAAAATCCTATCATGCAGGTCATGCAGCAAACTCAAAAGTATATACTATGAATGATGAACTTAAAAGTATAATCAAATGGTTTAAATGTAATAAACTAACTCTTAACTTTAAAAAAACAAAATGGGTTCTTTTCCACCCAGTCAGAAAAATGATTTTAAGACTGCTCTTCCAACAGCGTCTATTTTGCTAAGAAAACTGATATAGCTAAAGACCATAAATAAGCTTTAGCACAGTCAAGGTATCGTACAAATGGACTATTGTTGACGTTACCCGGTAAAATAAAACGGTGCAGCGAAAAACCAAAATTTGGTTTTTTAGATTGAAACCTTTTCCGGATTTTTAAAAAACCGTTAAAAATTGGTTTTTTAAAAATCCCTTATATTGCATTTTTCTAAAAACTCAAATAGGTTTTTTTAAAAAACAGTATTTTTTTTTTTTTGAGCGGCAACAACACCGGGGTGACTATGAAGACACGTAGCCTCCCCCTCTATTTTTTTTCGAAAATAGACTACTTTTAGAAATTGAGTTTTTTAAAACAAACTTTGCTTTGTAATAAACAAATTAACAGTTACCACATTTCAAATTATTAACATGTTATCATTTGTAGAAAAAGTTAAGTGTTAAAAAAAAAAAAAAACTAAATACAGCTATTTTTTTAATAATATTATAACAATTTTACATTTAAAGTTTGATATTTGTTTTGTTGTTAAAACTTTTATTGCATATGTAATGATGGACTACGTTTGGGTCAAAACGTACAACAAATAAATTTTCCATGTGGACAAAACTGGTGTCTAATGAGGGAGTTAGATAAACCGGCGAAGAAAGTAAGCATAAACTACTTTCTTCTTT